CCGGGGGCTCCCCTCCTGGCCCATGATAAATGACCCAGGGTGGGTAGGGCCAGGGCCAGGACCAGAGGAGAAGGGTGAGGGAGCTAAGAGGCAAGGAGGTCATTGAGAAAGAGGAGTAGATGGACAGAGAAGGAGAGAGGAGAAAGAAGGAGTCGAGAGTGGGAGCTGCATTTTTAGAGGAATGTTAAATAACAACAACAGGTCTGGATCTTACGACTGATGGAGCAGACAGGACAGTAGACGAGAAGAGAAATCTAATGAAAACTAAAAAAATACCTTGAAACCAGTTCACACTCAAACATTGATGGAGCTCAGTGGACAAAACAGAACAGCACATCATAAATATTGATGCTGCACACATTTGACGGGAGGCTGTAAAGAAATCTCCTCAAGAATTACACCGAACCATGTATGAATTACAAATTCACTAAAGATTAAACATCTCTAAGGGAAGGAACAACATTAATTTCTCATCTAATAGATGCATGCATTTTTGAATTAAAAATGTGTCCAAAAAATTTGTGAATGGCTGCCAGTTACATTTGTTTACCTACAGAAACAGCCCAAATGACCAAAAGTAGATCAATGATGTCCATGGAAGAGACATTTGAGATGGAGAAGTCCAACACTTTTGATGTACTTGTACATTATTAAGCTCAGATTTGTTGAATTACCAGATTAACTTCAGGCAAATTCATCTGAGTGTTTTGTTTACATTTAGTGTGGACCCACAATTCAGTTTCACAATGATATATCTGAAAAACTACGGCATCATTGATGTAGTTCAGAATATTTTTTTAATGTTTGATTTTAATAGTTTAAAATACTCTCATTACTTTTAACTTATTGACCTACAGTTGCTGTGCACTCAAGTGTGAGTTACACATATTTTGCAGATTTTAAATGAAGATTTGTTTTAACGTCTTCCAGAGAATCTGGTCTGTGGAGGAAATAGATGCCACTCAGAGACATGGGAACAATTCAAGTGAGACAGTTCAGCTCTAAGAACAACACAAGACTTATGGCATTAGTTAGGTGAGCAAATACTGTATGTTTTTAATTATGGTTCATGGTTTACATGATACGTTTCTTCAGAATTGAAGCAGCCAGTTGCTGGTGCAGAAAACACAGGTGTAAACTGCAGTTACGAGCAGAGAGTACAGTTTTTAATTATGTCATGCCTGCACTCTGATATCTGGCCCTTGTGGTGTCGTGTGGTGGCCAGTTGTGATAAAACCAAACATCATGCCCAAGCCTCAGCAAAGAGCCAGCTGGAAGGAGGCCAAACCTGTCGTACATATAGCATTGCAATTTACATTAATGAAATTACCACAGCAACAGGCAGATTTACTGTCCTTTTTTTTTTTCATCTTCTTCTATTTCCTCTGGCATTAAGCCAGTACAGTGCACAGTGACGTTCATTTGTTGTTTTTTTTACTACATGTCAATCAGGAACATCTAAACTCAGGAAAGGCCTGCAATTATACTTTGGCCTCCTTATCAGCTTTTTATATGCTCGAGGTCTCTTAGTCATTTCAAGAACACAAGTCTGGTGACGTTTGTGCAAAAACTGCTCCTCACTGATGAGAAACCTCAGCTTCCTGCAGTGAGAGGAGTCACCACTAGGGGCGCTCTGTCACCAGAAATCAACTTATTTCTGTCTGCAAATACATTTACCTTTTCTATATATAGGCTGAGAGGTGAAACTGTCGGGAAATAAACACGAAAGAAAATGTAAATGAGCACGAAAATACATAAAAGGGGGATTTTAATACAAATGTTGGGTTCACATTGTTAAAATCAATTATATTTCATATCTCACCTTGTTTAGAGAGAGAGAAAAGAAAGTCTCCAATCAGTCAGTGATTGACGATGATGTTTGGCCTTCATCAGAGGTTGGCCTCCTTCCAAACGTCTTAATAAAACATGTTTTCAAAGAGTTAATCGATCAGGGTGGAGCAAAGCAGAATCTCTAAAAAAAACAAATAAATAAAAAAGAGGATGTAGATTATTGACGCGCGTGATCAAACTGAGACAAATGTAAGCTGCCTTACCGACAGCTTGAATATTTCACAGCAACAGTATTATTAAGTTAATCAGTGGAAACATCATACCGTGTCAAATGCATTAATGGAGTAGCTAAAAGTATTTAATAAAATATTAAACATGAATCGACGAGCGCTAAGATTTGTATTTTGCGCAAACAAGTTCTTTGACTTCATTTAAACAACGTGAGCAAAACAAACAGCAGCTTGTTGTTCTCCAGACAAGATAAAAAAAAGGCATAAAGTTGTAGAAACCCGCTGTCTTCTTCAAACACGCAGCAATCTGTGAAAGAAACTTTTGGAGGAGCGCGTCCGCTCCGCGCGCCTCTCCTGTCCCTCGTGCGTCAAAGCGCATCAGCGCTGCAGATGAACCGTCTCCGTCCCTCATCCTCCCCCACTGTCACTGGGCCCTCAGAGCGGCTGCACCCCGGCTCGGTTCGGCAACATTCCCAGGAGACATCACTCATCTGATAGGAAGCGCAAATAAAAACAGCTTTGTTTTCCGCAACAAAAAAAAAAAGAGAGAGAATTGGTGAAAAAAGTCCTTGTAGCTCCATTATAGCCTCGCGTGCACAAGTCCATAAATGTGAGGTGGCATTCCCCCCATGTGTTGTACACCGAGCAGGGGCCTTCACGTGCGCCAGCAGCGGGCCCGGCTGCAGCTGGAGCTGTGCAGCCTCCGCGCGTCAACTGTTAAATGTGGCATTTTAAAGGTGATTTTATTTCTGTTATTCACTCCTAAAATCTGCAGGATGGGACTCTCATCAGGGCCAAAGAAGCAAGCATCAACACTTTTTCCCGCTGTCCATAAGCACGCGGATCACTTAGATCATTAACCACCGAAATGCTGCTGACATGCACGCTTTTTCTTTTCTTTTTTTTTTAACATCTCGTCTCTCCATTACAGCTCGTGATTACAGAGCAGGAGGTGGAAGTGGGGGCTGGAGCCGCCGGCAGGCCCGCCTGGATCCATCAGACGGTGGTCTCGGGTTATATTGGAGAGCATTAAGGGGGCTGCCGGCGGCTCGGCCTCGATGGGAGAGAGAGGGGCTCGAGGGCACCGCGGCACGGCACGGAACGACACGCTGCGCTCAGAGCGCGTCAGGACTGAGAGGCGCGTCTGCAGGAGCTCAACCATCAGGAGGCTTCTGGGAAGAAAAGGGACAAGGTGGAATTTTATTTTTTTATTTATTCTAAATTAATGCAGGCTGTCATATAAATAAAACAAAAAGTCCAACCGGAAGAGGCCTTCTTTTATATAAAAGAAAGATGAGCTGAAAACAAAACACCTCTCATGACTGTCATTCCTCCAATAAACTTATTACACTCAATTATTGACGACGTCAACAACAACAGCAATAATAATAATAATAATAATAATAGTAATGATAATGATAATAATAATAATAAATGTCTCTCTCTATAGATGTCTGACACTATTTTTTTTCTTTATGAAACATAATTTATTTCCAGTGTTTATTAGTTTAAATCAGATTCAGATTTTCTCTCAGAGCTCAAACTCCAAACACAAACACAGAAAGTGAATCATGGATCCCAGCTCACGCACGCGCGTCAAACTGATTAAGAATTTAAGGCAAACAAATGAGCCCTTCATTATCGCATGTCATCTTTGGCAGCCTCTTCTTCCTCCATCCTGCCTGATCGATACGCTGCTGCACGTGCTCAGCTGTGAATATGGACTGGGAAGGAAATTATCATCTGATCAATTCTTCAGATTGGCTCATTTATACGGACAGTTTATTTTGGCTGGGATAGAAGTGATTTTTTCTTTCTTTCTTTGTTTATTTAAAAGCAGATTAAGACAAAGATCACATGAGTTTTGCACGTAATTCTGTAAAAAGTCTTCCCTAGCTTTCCCCGAACTGTTCGACAGTTTACAAAAAGAACGAGAACAAACGTCTCTCTGCTCTTATCCTCCATCACAAGTGCCCGAGAAGAGCTGCTGCCAGTCATCACTGCAGGATGTGACCTTCCACACGGAACAAGGAGCGTGGGGATGCACGGAACCCTCATCATCAACATCAGCAGCAGCTCCACGGCTCGGGCGGTGTGCACGTGCTGCCCACGCAGGGGCAGCCTTGAGCCTGTTTTCTCTCTCCGGTCTGAGTTGGCGCAATCAGACACTCCGAAATAAGTCTGTCGGTTTTATTAAAGCAAATACATTTAATTCAGTTTAATGGGTCAAACAAGCCATTAATATATGACTACTTATGGTGGAGTAAAATATTTATTTATTATTCTCTAAACAACTGAATATTCCTAGCGAGATTCATAACCATCAAATTGTGTCTTTGCTTGCAAAAAAAGAAAAAAAAAGTTCAAAAACACTTAGTAAAGAGTGTTAAATAAAGTGTTTTTGTCACATCGCCCAGCTGTGGAGCTTTAATTTGTGGAAAGCTCAGACTTCAGAGAAATGCAGTTTTGTGTAAAGATGGATGATGGAAAGAGGAGTTTGTTTCTGGGCAGATCGTTGATTGTGAAGATGGACAGAAACCAGCGTCACCAGTGAATGCTGCATCATAAATGAGACAAGAACAAGAGCTGGAATAAAACAGAAACAGGTCAACATGTTTAAGTTAGTCAGTCTGGGACGCTTCATTCAGCTTCTTGCACCGGAGTCTGTAGAATCTCACGACGGTCCAAGCGCGTGAAGGAGCAGCGCGTCACAGACTTCTCTCTCCCCTTCTCTTTTTTCCCTCCCCCCTCCTTCCTCCCCCCCTTCGCTTTTAGGGAAGTCGGTCAGCTGACTGTCTCTGGCTGTCAAGACGGAATTGGGCGCCCCCTCTCCTCTCGTGCTCTTCCTCCACCTCCTCTTCTTCTGCTTGAGCTCAGAGTCCCGCTCCCATTGGATCACCGCGCGCCGTTGGTCCTGCCTTTCTGTGCGACGTCACGCACGCGCTTTGATAATAAAGCCCGGGCTGGCTCCGAGCGCAGTCTGCTGGATACCAGAGAGAGGAGAGAGTGAGAGAGGCGAGCCTTTAAACCTCTGCGGTGCAGAGCTGGAAAAGCTCCTTCTCAGCGAGAAAAAAAAGGAAGAGAGAGCGAGAACAGACGTCTTGTTTACTTTTGCGTCTTCTTTTTTGTGCCTTTTATTTTCCTGGAGAAAAAAAAAGGGAGACTTATCAGTAAGAAGTTGCAACGTGGACTGGTCTCAGCGAGCAAACGGGGTCATTCTTCTGCTCTGCTGGTTTGTTTGTGACTATTCTTCTGCTGGAAGGACCGACGTTTGACTGTTCCTGCACGGCGCGCGCTGCTCTGCCTCCTGCCTGCCACATTATTCCAGCAGAAGTAGGCTACATGACGCAAACACTGAGCTGAGCTGAAAGTTTGCCTCCACAACTTTTTCTCCCCCTTCACCCCCCTCCCTCCCACCACACTGTTTCATGCTACAGCAAGTCAGCGCAGAGCGGTGGAGGAGCCAAAACAACTATTGCATGAAACAAGGAAGGAGGGAAGAGACTCTCATTAAGAAGTCCGTGTTTGCGACGCACGCCGGCACCTTTGCGTCTTTGCAGACCAGTCGCCCCAGCATGAGTGCGGAGCTGAGCATGGGCCCGGAGCTGCCCAGCAGCCCCCTGGCTCTGGAATACGTCAACGACTTTGACCTGATGAAGTTTGACGTGAAGAAGGAGGGCCTGGCCGGCTTTGATCGCGGCGGGGTGCGCCAGTGTAACCGTCTCCAGCCGCAGGGCTCCGTGTCCTCCACCCCCATCAGCACGCCCTGCAGCTCCGTGCCCTCCTCGCCCAGCTTCAGCCCCACAGAGCAGAAGCACCACCTCGAGGAGCTGTACTGGATGCCGAACAGCGGCTACCACCAGCAGATCGACCCGCAGACGCTGAACCTGACCCCCGAGGACGCGGTGGAGGCCCTGATCGGAGCCACGGCGCACGGGCACCCTCAGCCTCCGCACGTGCAGCAGCAGCTGCAGCAGCAGCAGCAGGGCGCCTTCGAGGGCTACAGGGGCCCGCACCACCACCACAGCCACCACGGCCACAGCCAGCAGCACCATCACCCGTACGCGGGGGGCATCCCGCATCACGCCGAGGAGCTGTCCGGGCATCCGGGCGCGCACAGCCACCCGCACAGCCAGCACCACCATCACCACAGCCAGGACCCCGACAGCCCGTCGCCCGTCTCCCCTGAGTCCCACCAACCGCTCCATCACCACCGCCACCACCATCACCACCACCCGCACGGCCACCTGAGCCAGACGGCGGCGCACCTGGGCGCGGGGGGCGGCGGGCTCAGCGTGGAGGACCGCTTCTCCGACGAGCAGCTGGTGTCCATGTCGGTGCGGGAGCTCAACAGACACCTGCGGGGCTTCACCAAGGACGAGGTCATCCGCCTCAAGCAGAAGAGGAGGACCCTGAAGAACCGGGGCTACGCGCAGTCCTGCAGGTTCAAGCGCGTGCAGCAGAAGCACGTGCTGGAGAACGAGAAGACGCAGCTGATGAACCAGGTGGAGCAGCTGAAGGCGGAGATCAGCCGGCTGGCGCGGGAGAGGGACGCCTACAAACTCAAGTGCGAGAAGCTCACGGGCACGGGCTCCGGCGGCTTCCGCGAGGCGGGTTCGACCAGCGACAACCCGTCGTCCCCGGAGTTCTTCATGTGAGTCAACCAGCTGCCCCCTGAACCCTTCCTCTCTCCACAAACCACCGATGGACAGATGGTAATGACCCCCCCCCCCCCTCCCACACGGTTTGATTACATAATACAAAAAAAGTTATATTCATATTAAAAGACTAATCCACCAGATTATATTCTCATCTATAATCATCTCTCCATCCAGACAGAGTCCGAGCAGCTTTGTAGATTAGCTGTTTGTAGGGAAGAGACTTTGTTTTTGTTTTTTGGTTGTTTTCTCCCACCCCCCCTCTTTCAAAATAAAAGGAGGATCAGAACTTCCCCAACACCTCCTCTGAAGACTACAGTTTTTACATTTCCGGTTAAGAGACTAAAATTTGACTCTAAAAATTCAAAACCATAAGCAGGCCTGACTCCACTTTATGCAAATTCAGCTCTGCTCTGGGGGGGTGGGTTATGCAACATCTCATTGATTTATTGCCTGCTTGGTTATATTCAAATATATATATATATAAATATATATATAGAAACAAACAAAAACAAACAAAAAAGATTTCTGCATTAATATTAATCCTGCATGCTGGACATGTACGGTAATAATTTCTATTTTCTACTTTCATCATCTCGTGTATATTCAGAGCATGTCTTTGATCTGCGCTTCTTTATAGCTTTGTCTCTTTTTCTTTTTGTGTGTGTGTGTGGGGGGGGGGGGGGGGGGGCAGCGGGGACAGAACAGCAGGACGGCCGCCGCCTTTGGTGTGGGGGGGTTTATTTTTCACTTCTTTGGGTGGGTGGGGGCTTGTAAATAAATTGCAGCTATAAAAACTGCTGCACATTAAGAAAGAAGAGGCTGGTTTGAACTTCTTTTCTTTGTTTTTATTATATTTCATTTACTGTTTTTTTAAAAAAAACTTTCTTATCATTGATTGAACGGAAAAAGAAAGAGTTTTTTTTTAATTATTTGTCGCATTTAAAAGCAACAAATCGTGCGTCAAGTGCACTTCTGTTGGTGATTTAGCAAGTTTTCATTTTGAATGTTGCTCACACCTCCCTTCAGGGACATGATTATTCTGCTGGAAGGTTATGACTAATATTTCTGCGCACAGAGATTTGGTTGTGCGCAAAAAAGGCGCAAACTCAAAATTATCACTTTGTCTTTTATTAAATATGATGTTTCTTAGCAGAAATTCTTTAGAATAAAGTTTTGTTCTAATAAAACGCAGCGGCTGGCAGCCACCTGTTGCACGTTTTCTCTGGACCTGGGAATAATGATCATGTTTTTAAAAATCCCAAACACAAAAACTCATCTTTTAAATATTTTATCCGAGTAAATAATTACATGAGTCATGTTGTGATAAAAAGTTTTAATGTTTTCCTGACTTTTTTCTGCCGGTCAGTTAAAAAAAAAGAGGGATTCAGGTTGTGCAAATGTTCAAAATGAAAACCACGTTACTGTTTTGTTGCGTCTATTAATATTAATATTATTTGATTATTCTGGTTCTGCTGGCCAGATGCGTATAGTTAAAGTTTGTTTTCCATATGTTTTATTATTTGAATGATTTAAATTAAAGTGTCAGATCATATCGATTAAGCATGGTGCTTGCATTGAAACTGTCTTTGAAAGTCCTGCATTTAGAACAATCTTATGTTTTGATTTGTTGATTCAACTGGCTTGAAATCCAACTGAAACTGCAGCAGCGGGTTGTTGTTTTTTTATTTTTGTGTTCACCAATTCCACATATAGAGATGGTGGGGATCAATTTTCAATCCTGTTTATATGAATAATAGAACAACACTTAAATTTGAACTGTTTCATTCAGGCTGGTTTCTGTTTTTTGTCTTTTGGTTGTTGTTTTTGGAGAAAAAACAAATTGTTTCCTATTTTGCTTATTAAAGTCATTGAAATGGCAACAGTGAGAGCTCAGACTTTTTATTTATTTACTCTTTTTGCTTACATAAAATATATAAACTCTCTCTTAGGATAATACAATTATAAGTAATTGTTCCCCCTTCACGTCCTGCTGATGATAAAGTGATAATCTCAGTCAGTATCTCTTCATGGGAGTTTTGAGCGTTTCCAGACTGTTGTGCAAACTCCGCCTGCTGGTCTGCAGAGATTAGATCACCGGGTCTCTTGGTTCAGGGAGATTCCTGCCCTGCTGACTCGTGCAGAAACCCCCGCTGTCGCAGGAGCGCGCGGTAAAAGTAGATGTTTGACCTTGCAGCGCAGCGGAGGAAAGAAGCAAACATCAGATTTGCATTAAGACGTGAAATAATGCTCAGTTTCACCACGCACTGCATGGCCTTGAATAAACTTAGAGGCTAAATCCAGCTGTATGAAACACAGTTTCAGTTTTATTATTAACATTGCGTAAAATCCACAACCTGGCGCGCGCGTCTAGTTGATCCATAACTGACGTGCGCCACCTGCACGCAAAACTATTATTTATTTGCTAAAATATGACTAATATTAAAAACATGTGTAATGTATAGTTTGACAAACATCAACACGCTGTCGTTGTCCAGCCCGCGCATGCTGAGATAGAATTTCAGCAGAAGAAGAAGAAGAAGAAGAAGAAGAAGTGGAAGGGAGTAAGTGTTGATCTGGCCGCGCTCTAGAGTTTCTGGTGTCAGAACATTATCTGTCCCGTGTCTGCACATTCTCAAGGACAAAACTGCCAAGGCAAGAGGAGTCACCAAATGAGGCCAAAGCAGGAGAGTGGAGTTTACATTCTCCCTCTCCTCCTCCGTGGACTGCCACTGCAGCCTGAGGGGAGCACGAGGGCAGCTGGGGTGAAGGAGGGGCACAGAAAGAAGCTCAGCTGTGATAACAACAAAACAAACAAACAAACAAAAATGATAAGGGTGATCCGGTTCATTTTTAAGAAGCCATTTGAACAACACATGAAGAATAAGCTCGAAAGGGAATAAAACCATTTTACACTTGATATAATGAAGTTTTATTTCTGGTCTATTTTGAAGAAGAAAAAAAACTGATAAAAGTTTCTCTTGGCAAACTGATCTACTTAATCATAGCAGAAAAAAGCGACGCAATATTTTGTTGCATCATTGTCAACTCCTGTGATTATAGTTAACAAGTCATCCTGAAGACAAGTTTTTGTCAGCGTCTTACCTGGAGAGAGATATTTTGTCAAGAGGTTTTTGCTTTTCAATGTGTCTTTGAGGAGAAAAGACGGTAAGAAGAAGGCAGACTGTGAGAGTCTAAGGAAGCCTCAGCACAGCGGAAGAGCCAAGGACACAGCGACCAGGCGTGCGGTAATGATTTTAGTCTCCAATCACACGTTCATGCCCCCCCATAGAGATCCTATCTGCATTCAGCCTGCTGGCAGCTTCCACCTTCAGCTTTAGCAGCAGTAGCAGTAGCCATAAACCTGGCCTGTTTCTGTTCACCACCAGGACCCAGAACATCTCTGAGCTCCACTGCAGCTTCTCTAAACTCCTCCAGCATCAGCCTCAGTCCTGCTGCAGGTGTGTAAAAGTCTCCAAAGTGTGCACTCACTCCTGCCCCCCTTCTAAAATCACACCCAACATGCCAACAAACTCATTTGTCTCGTCTAACCTAAAAGAACTTTAGCTTTTTTTTGTTTCTGCTAATTTTATTGTATTTTCTCGTGTCCAATTCACGTGCTGTGGTTTTAAACACCATTAAGATGGTTTGAGCTGTGTTACCATGACGATTTCATTAGATTAACTTACAAAACTTTATTTAGATGTGCTGATCCATACAAAGACACCCCAACCAACAACTGGAAAATTCTCCTGTTGCTCTAAATCACAGTCACTCTCTGAGGAAGAAGCAAGATTTTCTCAAGGGACACACACACACACACACACACACGAGCATGTTAATCGTTTAGGAAAACAACTTGTGTCTGGATTTTCACAGAGATCCATGAAGAAATGTACGGTAATGTTTTAATCTGTCTTTTCTCATAACTTCGATCATATTGATTGGTGCTGAAAATGTTTTCAGTGTGTGTGTGTGTGTGTGTGTGTGTGTGCGCAGCAGCAGGCTCTTACAGTCATTAGTGCTCTGAATATGTGTCAATAACAATTATAAATCATCTTCCTCTCCTCATTCTTCTCCCCTCCAGCTCTCCATCTTCCTTTTCATCTTTGCTTCTTCAGTCTTTGGCTGAGGCGAACCACGTCTGAACAGTTTGGATCATAACATCTGCGTTTCAGCTTCAGTCTGTTGCACCCCATATGCATGATTACCAAACTTTATTATTTCTTAACACTAATTAAAAATTACAGTTTACCTAACGGTGCAGATTGACAGTTATATATTCTCTTTTTTTTAATCTCTTTGCATGTTTCTCCACCTGTAGAAAAAATGCTTGTCTAGTTACCTGACAATCATTCTGCAAAAATGGGGTTTCCTTGTCACGTTGCAGTTACATCAACAGCACTCATAATATGCCAAAAATCTTCATTTCTCCCAGGGTGTCGACAAACAACAGCCAACTTCAGCTTCATCCACAGCAGCTTGTCTTTAGGATAAATATGTGACTTTATGGCCAAAACGAGTCAACAGTCCATTTTCCAGTGCGACCACGGCCGTGGTGAGTCAATGAAAGTCATGTGTACGTCTCTGCTTCCGGGATGTGAAACCCTATTCCTGGAGGAATTGATCTTCGTCTGGCTGCTGCGGGGATAAGGCCAAAGGGAGAAGATAAGACAAGACACAGAGCAATCAGTGATACATCTGAACAGTCAACTCCTTCTGCAAACAGGAAGCTGCAGACAGTTTTAAAGCTGCAAAGACCAAAGAATGTCATCAGTAAATGTAAGAATTCACTGGTTTCAGTGAACATCACTAACGAAAGTAGGTTATTTAAGCAGAAGAAAAGGAGGACTGCAAAATACTTTAATTATATACCTTTTATATTTTTCCATTATTTTTTTCTGTTGGTTGGTTTATTTTGCATTGTTTGTTCAGGTCACACATTTTGTGTGTTTAAGCTGAAATGTTTGAATTGAGGTTCAGTAAAAACATTATGAACAATTAATATCTTACCTGTTGTAGACAGCTTTTAAACAACTTTAGTTTGAG